AATAATAATAATAATAATAATAATAAGTTATCAAAAAGGTACAATCGATATACCTGTACATTTCCTACTATTACGTAATTTTTATTTAAATTATTGTTATTATTATTACAACGACTACTACTACTATAATAAATTGTAAAATGTATTAATTCATGATCTCGATCGATTTCCCCCCTCCCTCCTCCCACATTAAATTCATCCTTTTCTCTATTTCTCTCTCTCTCTCTCTCACACACACACATTTTTTCAATGGTGATGACGAAATGCGATGGAGGAAGATTTAAGAAGATATAACATTTTAAAAAAATTTTAAAAAATTAAATAATTTTATTGCGTTTTATTTGCGTGGGGGTGCGTGCGCGTACCCGGTTAGAAAGTGCTTGTGCGCGTGCGCGATAGGCCTTATCAACCTTGATGGATTCAATGCAAGTTTAATTTTTTTTTTTTAAATCTTTTTGTTTAATAAACAAAAAAAAAAAAACTCGAATGAAAATAAATAATTAAATTATTATTAAGTTGGCAACCCTTTTCCACAATAATAATAATAATAATTTATTACAATTACTTAATTAATCAAATAAATTTAAAAGAAGAAGGGAAAAAAATCTGGAATAATAATAAATGATAACAAACTGATAAGAGAGAGAGAGAGAGAGAGAGAAATGGTTATATAATAATTCCGATGAAGATAATAATAAATATTATAACTAAACGATAAATACTGATTATAATAATTATTATTATTATTAATAGTATTACTACGGGTTATACGAGAGTTAGGCATCAATGTTGTTGTTGTTGTTGTAATTGTTAATGAGAAACCATCGTAAAAAAAAAGAAAAACATTTTGATATACGTGTTTTTACATTGAAGTAATAAAAAGAAAGGACTTTTGATAACTCAAGGTCGATCGTGGTTGGTTGAACCACGTACCTTCAAACATCAGTTTACTGTCAGGTTCAGTCGTTGCAAAACTTTTTTTTTTTTTTTTTTAATAAAGTTGTAATCCGACGAAATTAAAAAAGAAAAAAAATTTCAGCCTCTGGTATTTTGTTTTATCATTATCACTTTTTTTGAATAAATCGTGTGACGTCATCGTACGTGGCAACAGAATTTTTTTATTACGATCGATAAAAAAAAATTATTTTTAGTATTTTTTTTTTCTCGTCAGCCGTCACGGTCATTAATTTTATTAATTCCTGATCTTTAACCTCCTTCCCCATAATATTTTCGTTTCCGTCAACCGCGCCCCCCCAACCCCCACCCTTTCCCCTCCATTTACTCCTCCCACCTCCTCTCTCTCTCTCTCTCACCATCGGTAAAGTCTGGAATTTTGAAAAAAAAAAAAATGGTTGCATTCTCGAATACGTGAAATTGTGCCTGACGGGTAAAAAATTTTTTTCAAAAAAAAAAATTATGTAATAAAAATTTATTTATTTACCTGCATAAATAAATAAATAAAATGTTATCACGAAATAATTATTACGTCACGGATTAAGTAAAAAAAAAAAGAAAAGTCGTCTGCTGCTGTCGAACGAATAATTTTTTTTTTGAAACGAACTCAAGGAAAAAAAAAATCGAGTAAAAAAATTTTTTTAAAATAAAAATCCATCGACCGTGGAAACTAATAACAATATTATTAATAATAATAATAATAATTTTACGGTTAAAATTCCAGAATGATTCCAGAATTTAAAGACCCGTTTTATACGTTCACGGTAGCGTTTTATGATTATGATGATACGTGTTTGAACGTAAAAAAAATTGTTTTTTTATGGGTGGTTCGCTTTAACCTTCGGTTTAGCGTAAAGAATTAAACAAACAAACGAACAAACAACAACAACAAAAACATTCGTGTGTTCGGTTCCTTAACCTTCAATCGTACGAAAACAATAAGGAAAGAAATGTTTTTTTGTTTTTGTTTTAAAAATCAGCGCTCTTCCCCTACTCTCCCCTCTTTCCCAGCGTGTTCCTCCTCCTCCTCCCCACCCCCCTTTTCCAGAACCTCGTTGCAGTTTTTGTGCATTCAGTAGTTAATGATAACTTTTTCAATTGGAATTTTTTTTTTTGTTTTTTGGGTTAAAAATGGAAGATAACATAGAACAAGGTAGGCGTAAGACTTGACACGTTCATTTTTACTTTTTTGGTTTTGGTTTTGATTTTTGTCGAAATCCCTTTCGAATTTTAAAAATGATAATAATAATGATAATAATAATGATAATAATAATAATGATAATAATAATAATGATATTTATCGTAATGATTTCGAAATGTTACGAATCGGTTCGTTCGTTACTCCTTGATTAACGGATTAAAACATTCTAATATTTTTTTTTTTAATCAGGACAAACGTTCGCTTTTTACCGTTCGATAGAAAGAACGAAACAACCGAAATTAATAATAATAATAATGATAATAATTCTTTAATTACGTCATACTTAATAAAATTATTATTATTATTATTATTAAATCATTGAGAAAAAAATTTTAAATCGGGTTAATTATTATTAATATTTATTGTTTTTTTTTTTGTAAAAGTAAACGTGGAACGAGAATTGTATATTTATAATAATTGATTGGCGCCACGAATTTAAAAAAAAATAAAAAATAATAATAATCGGAAAATAACCTTCCGGCCATTTTTTGTTTTTTTATTTATTTGATTATTATTATTATATCCTACGGGTTATCATTCGGGATTAATTACAAAATTTGTTTTTCCCGCCATTTTTTCCCGCGCTGTCGTCCGTAAGATCAATTAAATTTAAAAAATCGAAACGATCTCTCTCGTTTTATTATAAAAAAAAAAAATTTTTTTTTGTGGAAGGTCGTTTGTTGTTGCCGTTGTTGTTGTCGTCGTCGTCGTCGTTTAGCTTTAAAAAAAAAAATTATTTACGAAGTTGTTTTCTATGCAAACGACTTTTTTTTTTGTATTCATCTTACAAAATAAAATTAAATAAATAAATTGAATAAGGTAACGTGGGGTAAGTGCGCGTGACGGAGCGCGTGACATCATCATCCGGTTCCTCCTCATATTTTATATTCCGGTCAAAAAAAAAAAAATTTTCTTTTTTGTACAAGGTTTCATATTATCATCATCATCATCGTAACAATCGTAAACGATGATGATGATGATGATTCTTTAAAGAAAAACAATTTTATTTAACCTTGAATACGACGTGTGGAATCGTTGATTGTTGTTTGTTATCATGACTCTACGTAGTAGTGGTGGTGGTGGTGGTAGGAGTAATGGTAGCCATGTCGACCGACCCTCAACAACTAAAGGACAAAAAGGAAGAAGAAAAAGAAAAATGATTTCGGTTTTACCATTTCCTTTTTTTTTTAATTTGAATTACGACAAAGGAAAAGTACCGTCAAATAATAATAATAAAATTTCTCATGAGTTTTTTTTTAAAAAAAAACCTTGTTTACCTTTTACAACCTTGCGAACCTGATTCAAACTATCCGAGAATCGACAAGAATGTCATGTCAAGGTCTTATATAAGTCCAGTGATTGTTAAAAATAGAATTTCTTTTTTTTTTCAATGTAAAATTTTTTTTTTTATTTGTCGAATGAAAGGATTATTATTATTATTATTATTATTATTATTATTATTATTATTATTATTATTATTATTATTATCAAACGTTATCATTATTCTTCTTTTGATTAGAGAGATTAACATGTGGGAAACATGGCCGATAAAATCAATCGATTACGAAAACCCAAATTTTTCAGGTATGCGATTATGCTTGTTCGTCATTAATCGATTTTAAAAATTAAAAAAATTTTTTATATCGTCTGCTACGGACTGATTTGATTTGAATCGTTGAAAAAAAAGGAAAGACCTTGTATCAAAATTTGGCGCCATTTTTAACACGCCATCGATCAACCGCGTAAAAGTCGTGACGTCATCGTAAAAATCCCGTTGGATTTGGAAAGAAAGAGAAAGAAGAAGGTGAACGAGAAATCCGAATAGAAAAACTCGATACGAAGACGAAAAAACAAAAAAAATTTGCTACAGAACAGCAATTTTGCTACGACAAAAACGATCCTCAAAAACGTTACGTCATCACGCGGAACAAAATACGATCGATCATCGATTTTAATAGAACAATTTAAAATTAATAATTAGTGATTACGTCACTTCCGGTTTATTATTAAAATCTATTCTCTTTTATAAAAAAAAAAAAAAAAATTTTTTTAACAAAAACCGATTTCGGCATACGAAAAAAATTACAATCCACTATTATGTTACGTTATTATCATTATCATCATTATTATTATTATTATTAATTTAAAGAGTGATTAAATGTTTTATAGCGAAACCACGTTAAAACGTGCGTGGAAAAAAAAAAAAAAAGAATTTCAAAATTTTTTTCTTTTTTTTTTCCTCCTTACTTTCGTTCTTAATAAACGTAAACGGGAGCAAATTTTATTATTATTATTATCATCATCATCATTATCATTCGATATGATCCAGCATGCGACGAATAAAATGTCATAAAATCACGAAAACAATTTTTTTTTTTTTTATCTTCGTCGCGTAATAATAATAATAATAATAATAATAATAATAATAATGATTTCAATGACCGTTAATAATAATAATAATAAAGACTCGTTCATCCACTTTCACTTTTTTTTTCTCTTAAACCGTAGCAAAAGTAAGAATTGATAATAATAATAATAAAAACTCGAAACGTTTTTTTAAAAAAAAAAAATTTTTTGTTTTGTGTTTTGTGTTTGTTGAACTTATTATGTTTTGCGTAATGTTTTTTTTTTAAACAGCTCTTCCTCTCTCCCCCTTTTCCCCTCCCTCCCCACATCTCAACAAACGGCAAATATTATTATTATTATCATAACAATTAAAAACGAGAGGTTAATTAAATACAATCGTAAGAAAATGTTTCAACAACAGCAAAAAATTTAAAAAAAAAAAAAAATTTTGATTGTTGTTATTATCATTATTATTTTTTCAGGTATCGAAAAGGACATGATGAAAGGTTGGTTCGACGCTTTTCGAAACGATGGAGGTCCAACATTGTATTCATATAGCAACAGGACTCCGGTTACGGGAGATGTTAACACAATATCAATAATTCTAGTCTTTACAACACTTTTGGTCGCTTTCCTCGTTATATTTCCGGGTATAAGAAAAGAGGTTGGTCAATTATTATCATTATCATTACCATTATCATTATTATTATTATTTATAGACTATTAAAATAAGCTATAGTGAGCTTATTATACCTCTTTAAACTAATTTTTATTAATTGATTGATTATAGTTTTCAATTTGTGATTCCCTCATTAAAAAATTATTATTATTATCATTACTTTTTATATACCGTAATTATCATCATCATCATCGTCGTCGTCGTCGTCGACGCCATATTGGAAAACTCTTATTGTTTATTTATTACTAACTATTTATTATAAAAAAAAAACTTTCAGACACGAAATTTTTTTTTCTCTCATTCGTACAATTGAAATTCGTTTTTAAGCAATTTGTGATATTTGAAATCGTGATAATAATAATAATAATAATAATAATAATAATAATTATGACGATAACAAAAACCACCGCCTTCTAAAATCCTTATTTTTTTTTTTGGAAACCTCGGTAAAAAATTATTTAATTTATTAATGTTTGTTTTTATGTGAAAATGACTCGTCAATTAAAAATTTACGAGTATGAAAATTTTAAAGAAAGAAAATTAAATAACCAGCAGTCGTGCCAACATTACGTAAAAAAAAAAAAAATTTTTCATTAACGATTTTAAGGTCGAAAAACATGAAAAAAAAAATTTGCAAAAACTAAAACTAAAACTAATTATAACGAATTGAAATTAAACGTGATCGCCTTGAACGTGTAAGAAGAAAGAAAGAAAGAAAGAAAGAAAAAAATTAATCTGAATACCCGAAACCTTTTCTTTTTTTAATCTCGTAGAGAAGAGATGACGAGGGGGAGGGGGAGGGGTAAGAAGAAGGTTAGTAGTAATTAATTATAATCGATTCGATATACGATAAAAATTTCGATATATCGAAATCCTTTTTTCTTTTTCTTTTACATTAATTATTTTAATGATATTCATTCCCAAACGTTAAAAATAGAAAAAAAAAAGGTGTGGAACAAAGGAAAAAAAATTTTCCTTTCCAGTTCGATTTGGCTGGAACAAACAAACAAACGAACGAACAAACAAATATTGTTGAAATGAAGCCAAAAATATTTTTTTTTATCAGGTATAAAAAAATGTTAAAATCATTGCCAAGATTTTTTTTTTTTGATAAAATTTATTATCAGTGGGAGAGAAAGAAAAAACAAAAATTACCTTTTCACAGGTGCGGCTTTTCATCTTTCTCTCCCCTCCCCCTCCCCTCCCCCTCCACTCACACAACCCCTCCAAAGGCCCGAAAAATCAAAATTTTTTATATCACGTGATTTTATATATTAAAAAAAACGTATTTTCCCAAAATGTTGCGCGCTCGGAAAAATGGAAATTTTATTATTATTATTATTATTATTATTAAAGAACCGGTCCTGATTGTTTTTTTTATCTTTTTACCTCTTTGATAAGGTAGCCGGATGTTAAACAACACACGCACGATGCACACGCACACGCACACACGCCTTGAAATTTTACCTGGGCTTTATATTATCGCAAAAACAAAATGGCGTACTTGACGCTTTTGTTTCATTGTGAATAATTTTTTTATTTAAAAGGAAACAAAAATATATTTGCACCCGTGAGTATTTTAAACACACGCGCACGCCCCCGCGTCGCGAACGTGTCAGAAGAATGCAAAATAAAAACAAAAGAAAATCTCTATCATTACGTATTTACGTGAAAGAAAGTTTAAAAAACTTTTTTTTTCATATTGTGTGTCAGGTATGAAAGAATCGGTTATGAAAGGTCACACGCACACGCACCCACACATGCCACTAAACACGCGGGCGGATGCGGCGGGGGAGGGGAGGGAGGAGGGTTCCCCCTCCGAATTGAAAAATTTTTTTATTTTTTTTAAATTTGCAATTAAATTTGATTTAACCTTATTGAAATTTCATTTTTTTTTTTTTTTTTTGTTTGTTACCTTTGAGAATGAGAAAATTTTTATGATTCAATCGTTGTTTGTTTGTTGTTGTTGACCTTTTAGCCTGAGAAAAACTTTCCCCGATGAGTAAAACAACAAAGTTCGGGGGGAGTCACGTAACGCGTTCAAAATTTAAAAAATCTTCGGCATTTGTTTGTTTCAAGAGGGGGCTATTAGATTTCCTGCCGCCACGACAAATAAATAAATTTTGTTGTTTTTTTTCGCACCTTAATTTCGTGCCTGAAAATAACTGGTTCGAAAATAAAAATTTGAATTGTGATACAAATAATAATAATGACGATGACGATGATTATGATGATGATGATAACAGCAATGGAAAAATCATTAAATTGTTTTTTTTTGTTTGTTCTAGAGATTTACGACTTTTCTCAGTGTCATACTTAGTCTTTATATTGGAACTGTTATATTAGGTGAGTTTAAATAATAATAATAATAATAATAATAATAATAATAGTAATAATAATAATGATAATGGTAATAATGATAATAATAGTGTTTAAATTATTTGACCTCTGGTAAGATTCGTCAATTAAAAATGTAAGTCACGATTTGTTTTTTTTTTTTAATGGTCACGCGTAGGATTTTTTTTTTTTTTTTAATATTAAATAACTCGTGGATTCCTTTGTTCAAAGGAAAAAAAAAGAAACGATTTTATTAAAAATAAATAAAAAATTTTCAGAGACCTTTGAATAAGGAAACCGTTTTTTGCCTGTCGCCAAAGAAAAATCCGCCATTTTTTTTTTTTTAAATTAATTTTTCGCAACGTTAAAAAATCGAAACCATTTTATTATTATTATTATTAGTTAAAACAATCGACCACGCCTAAAAAATTTCACTTTGTTCAAACAAACAAAAACAAAAAAACAAACAGGGAAGGAAAAAGAAAAAAAATTAGAAATTAAAAAAAAAATTTAAATAAATACAAACAACCGAACAAACGAACAAACAAACATTGATTACGTTACGTAATAACGGAGAGAATAAGAAAAAAAAATTATGTAACGAAAACGAAATTTTTTTTTTTTTCAAAGTTGCCAACAATGGTTCATCTTGGCACGTTGGAGTCATTAAAATAGTGAGTACGTATCGAGCCTATTCTCCAGATCGTTTACATGCCGAACTTGGAGCCTACATAGGACTCGATCACGTTAACGTAACATTAAAAGGTAAATAAACAAAAAAACAATCGTTTACAACAATAATAATGATGATAATAATAATAATAATAACGTTTTAGCTTTGCCTGGTGTAAATAGGACAGCAGAAGACATTGATTTCAACGAAAGATTTCAATGGATCGGCTCCCATGAAATGGGTACGTCGTATAAGCAAAGTTTAAAAAAAGGTTTACCCTTTCCCATACTCACGGTTGCAGAATATTTGAGTCAATGTCAGGAAGGTTTTAATTGGGGGGCACATTATAGAGCAGCCGGGTATTATGCGAGCGTAACTCTTTGGTAAATTAATAAACCTTTTATACCGTTTGTCGTAATGATGACGTCAAAAGTTTTTTTCATTTTGAATCATTCCTTTCCAGGGCTTCTTTTGCTTCTTGGCTCATGATGAACCTTCTTTTGATTGTCGTACCACGTTATGGAGCCTATGCAATGACGACAACCGGAACGTTAATGCTTTTAAGCGATTTTTTATATTGGTAAATTTTCAAAAAAATGAACAACAAAAAAAAGCGTCTTCCGCTGCTACCGTTGGTTAAAAAAATTTTCTTTTTTTCAGGTACATGATTCCTCCTCATGAATTAGTCGTGCGTTTAGAAGAATCAGTATTAAATTTTCATTTTGGAAAAAGTTTTTATTTAGTTTTATATTCAGGTACATTTGTTTTTTTTTTTTTTAATTTGTTCCCACGGGAATGAAAAAAAAATCACCCTGAATTTTTTTTTTCTGTTGTGTCCAGGAATTTTATGTTTAATAGTCGGACTGATAATAACAACGATCGATACGATATTTCCACATAAATTTACAACAATGTTAGAAGTCGATTACGATACTCCATACGATCGACACATAATTATAGAAGATAGTCAAGTATCGAAAACGAAAAAAAAAGAAAATTTCAAAAGCGAACAACAGCAGCAGCAACAACAGCAACAACAACAACAGCAGCAACAACGACAACGACAGGAAGAAGAAGAAGAACGGGGTTCCGTTACCGGTTTCGGAAATAAAATTTTAAGGTAGGCAGAAAAACAAAATTTTCCCTGAAAATGAAAATTTGGAAAATTCTAAAATTTGAGGTTTTTTTAAAGGAGGTTGTCGAAACGAGGACAATTAGACGGTGTTGGAAATGAAGCATTCGAAATGGATCCACCAAAATCACCCTGGAGGTATCCGTTCAGGCACACGGCATTTCCAGAATTTAACGATGATACGAGAGGTCAAACAAGAGACAACAATTCTTCTGATAACGGACCCGTTAAAAGTCACATAAATACGTCATCGAGACCTCCGCCATTAAGGATTTCAAAATATCCTTTTAATCGGCAAATTTCTGTCGATTCTCAAGATAGCGGTAAAATCGATACACAATTTTTCTTTTTTCTATTACAATTCATTTCCGGTTTAAATTAATAAATAAATTAATTAATTTTTCTAGATCATTCGACGTCGAGTTTCGGTCTTTCTTTTCTTAGTAAAATAAGAGATAGTCAAAGAGTTCCACAAAGTCCTTTGGCATCTGAACCAACAGCTGGAATTCACGAATCACGTAGATCAATAAATCAAAAATCTGACGTTTGGTGATATTCGTTTCCGCCATTTTTTTTTTTATTTTAAAAAAAAAAAAAAACCTTTTTAATTTGTTCCTAAATGTGAATTTTCGGTATTTTTTTTGTCGTTTTCGGTTAAAATTAAATTTGTTACGTTTGTAAATTTTCTTTTTTTTTCTTGGCTGACTGAAAATAAAAAATGTTTTTTTTATTTTATTTTTCCGTTTGATTTTCTTTTCATTCTTTTTTTCCTTTTTTTCCTTGGAAAATAAAAAACATAACCTTTTTTTATTTTTATTTTTTTTTTTTTTTAACCCAGGAGAAATGCGAGTTACGCACAACTCCTCCGAAGAGGAAGTGTGGGGCTCGGTTTGGATTGAAAAGATAGCCTAGCCGGGGACCCATACCCACTAAAACTCCTGGGCATGTCGCAATAGCATGACCTGTATGGAAAGGGGGGGAGACGTTCGTGGGAGTATAACCTACATTTCAGTCTCCCCTCTCCGGTAGGTCAGAACGTTAGCCGTTCCACATGATCACTTATGGGGAGATCCGCCCAAATCTTCGTTTCGTCTCCACGTCGAAGATGAGAACGCATCTCCCGGGAACGTTCGGCAGTCCCTTTCGGAAGGTCCTCCGGTCCCTCGCCGTGGGGAATTGGATGGGAAACGCGCCTGTCTCCTGAGGATACGATCGGGGCTTGGAATTGAGACTTACCGTCGTCGCCTGAAAAGGGCGAAAGATTAAAGTTAAGTGTTAGTTGATCACATCCTCCCTAACGGTATGGGGAATAGAAAAAGTTGGACAGAAAAGGAATCGACCGGGGTCGCCGACCCTCGAGAAGAGAGAAAAGAAGTTTGGGTGTGTGTGTTTTCACGGCGACAACGGGTTCGCACCCGCCACCGTCGTGCCCTCACTCTCACCTTTACGGAGACGATCGCGACCTGCCACGTCGCTCGCGCTTCCGTCGCAGGAAACGCGAGTTTCCGGAACAGAACGCCCCGGACGGGTTCGCTTCTCCCGGCCGGCCCGCCCGATCCCTTCACCTACACGTCCCTGCCGCTGCTACCACAACAAGAGAAAGACCGATGACATGAAACTGTAAACAGGAACATTAATTCCCGTTCCCCCTCCCCCCGACGATCTCCCGACGCCCCATAATCCGCCACGACCCGGACCGCCGCGAATAACGCCTACGCACCAAAGCCGGGACGAACCTTTCCCCGACGTAATCGAACAAGAGATCCGGAACCCGATTCGAAGTACCGGGACGAATCCTTTCCTCTCTCGTGCCTCGGGAGACAATTCCGACCTGCCGCACCGTTCCCGCCTCCTCCGCGGGAAAAGCGAACGTCCAGACCCGGACGACCCGAACGGGGCGCGACTCCCACCCGACTCGCTGACTCCTTCTGTTTCGCGTTCCCGCCACCATCCGTGTTGGAAGATTCCAAAGATTTGCACCTGAAATGAGATAGCGTTAATCCCCGTTCTTTCCCCGACGATCCCGAGACGACCCGAAAGTTTGCCACGCTAACGCACCGAAGCCGGGACGAACCTTCCCCCGACGTAATCGAGCAAGAGATCCGGAGCCCGACTCGAATCATTTCCTCCCTCGTGCCTCGGGAGACGGTTCAGACCTGCCACATCGCTCCCGCCTCCTCCGCAGATACGAAATGAGCTTCCGGAGGCGGTGAGAAGTTCCGAAGTATCGGACCCGACGAAACATCCCCCGCAGTCCATCCGCGTTCCGTCCCTGCCACCGTCCGATTGACTCTTGCAGTCCGAAGTGCGAGAATCCGACCGGTGCGGCCTCCGACGTCGTCGTCATTCGCCGGAGCCGTCTTTGTCGCGGTCTTCATCCCTTTACGCCCCTTCTTTCTGCCGTTGGAGTGAATCGCACGCACTGTCCTTAAACTCTGAACCACTCCCGAGGATGACGAGTTTCCGGAGACGAGTCCACCCCGCTCAAGAAGATCTTCCCGTCGTCCTTCGGCCCGCATCCCCGTTTTCCCGGAGTAGGATGATGTACCCTGAAAGAAAAGTGCCGAGTTTTTCCCCCGGAAGGTACAGGTCTGACTCTTTGTCTGCGATCGGAGAAAACGGCTCTCAACCGAAAAAAGAAAGAAAACATAACCTTGACTTTACGTAATCAATAAATTCTCATTATCTTTCCAAAATTCAATTATTTTTCATAAAAATAATAATAATGACAATGGAAAATCAATAATGTATAAAACACGCGATTAAAAAGAAAAAAAATTTTTTTTTTTTTCTTCGAACAACTAATTAATATTAAATTATTATTATTATTATTATCGGGGGGGCATTTTTAAAATTTTTTATTCTTAGAATTTTTACAACACGACGCGACAGGAAAAATTTTCCTTTCAAATTAATTAATCATTTTACACAAGTAATTTATGCGTTTCCGTTATCTATCATCATCATTATCATAATCATTTTTTTTAATAACCCAGGAGAAAAGCATTTTACACACTGAACCCCTAGGGAATCGGTGTGGGAATCGATGTGTGGAAAAACTAAAGCCTAACGGGGGGCTCTGTATGAAGAGGGGAGGAAGTTAGTGGGAGTTTTACCTACTTTTCAATAGTCCCTCTTCGGTAGAAGAGCCACCGATTACTATTGGGTGATTCGCCCTCGTCCTCATCATCCACGTCACCTTGAAGATGAAGACGCACCCCCAGGGCGATTAGCAGTTTCTTTTGACTGGCACACGCCAATAGAAATCGGATGGGAAGCTCGCTTGCTTCCTGAGAATGCGATCGAGAGCGAAGAACAAACTTCATTACCTCCCTAACTAGGGAAAAGAGAAGTGTTCGTTAATTAATCGCATCCTCTCCTAATGGTTATAAGGGTTTGATAGAAATACAAGTGAAGGGATCGACCGGGGTTGTCGGTCCCCCAAGAAAATTAAAAATAAGATGACTGTACTGCTCGTAGTGCCGTCAAAAGCTATCCTCATGCGTTCGCAACTTCGCTTGCGAATCGCAGTATTCCCCTCTTGTCCATCCCGATTTGGGTCTGTTTCTTCGTTTTGGCCGAAAGGAACCGAACCCGATGATTACGTTGTGGGATCCCCAAAGATATTCGGTTCCTGCTACCGGGATATCCTCGCTTATCGTATAAAAAAGCGCGAGTCATCCGACCTGAGACCCCCAAACCAGAACCACTCTACTTGGATCCGGCCTCCAAGTGACTGGATTACAGGAGTACGTCACTACTCCCGCCATTATCATCATCATCATAATTTAACCTTTTCAATGGTGACCCCGGTTTAATTTGATTCATCCATATACGATACACAATCCATTTTTTTTTTTTTTACACAGAACGTTTATTAATTACAACAATTCCATAAATATTTTTATTTTTATCTTTTTTCAAGGGTAAAAAAATTTAAATTTTTTAAATGTTTCAATAATTGAGGAGGAAAGGAGGGGAAAGAAGAGGAAGAGGAGGAGGAGGACGATGACGTATATGAGCGCAAAAAAAAGAAAAAACATTAAATATACAGTATAAAAGCAATTTTTATTTTTAAATAAATATATATATATATATAATGTATATAATACAGAGAAAAAATTAATTAATACTTAAATATGAAATAATCATTATTATTATTTCTTTTGTTTTTTTAAAGCTTTGTTAGTGAGGTTTTTTTTTTTTTTGTTTTTTTTTTTTTACTCCTTTTAGAGAATAAATCACTCGTGTAAAAAACGCAAATTTAATTTTTTTTTTTTTTTTAATAAGCATTTGTTTGTTTACTGCATCATTATAAAAGATAAAAAAAAAAAAAAATCAATGAGAGAAAGAGAGAGAGAAAGAGGTTGTATATAGCACGTGATTAAGTTTTCTTTTTCTTTTTTACATTTCTTCTCCTGTGTTTATCAAATGCAGAGCTTTTTCAAGGTTTGTTCTTGCTGTTGTCATGTCGTCATATGTAAGAGCACTTGCAGCCCATTTACAATATTTTTGAGCTTTTATTATTTGATCTGGAGTTAATTGCACACCTGAGTAAAAACAACAAGCAAATTTGTTATATATTATGTAATAAATAAAGTTAATTATAATAATAATAATAATGGAAATACCTGTGGTTGGGCTGACTTTTTTAGTTAACGATTCAGCAGCTTCAGGTTTAGTAAAATCCAATATTTCAGATGGGCTAAGCGGTTTAGATTTCGGTTTTTCCTCTTCTTCTTCTTCTTTTTCTTTGTCAGGTGTCGATGGAGGTTTGGGAATTATTATATTTTGAAATCCAGAATTCCCAGGTACAGGATATGGCAAACCTGATAATTAAATCCCATTAAAAATTCAAACGATTTGATAATTTTTTTTCTGAAAAATATAAAAGAGATTAATAATACCTGAAGATCCAGCACCTGAATTATCTGTCGGAGAAGGAGGTATCGGGTATTGAGGTTTCGGAGGATCAACATTCGATGATGATGATGATGGTTCATCAAAATTTTCATCATCGTTCAATGGTCCAGGTATTGGAGTTTCACCATTTTTAAGGCAATTGTGAATGTAAGCTGCTTTCCATTTAGCATATTTTCTATTTTGTATAACATCTTCTGTGAGTTCGCCAAACAAATCCAAAACATCATAAATCATTCCTGATGTGTAAAATGCTTTGACAACATTTCTAAAAATCATTTCTCGAATCAAATAAATGATAAAATGATAATTAACGGTATGACATTTAATTACTTGTTAAAATTAGCTGCTCTGTCTTGCGAATCAGCCCATAGAAATAATTTCAATGCATAATTTTCTAAATGCACTTGAGCTGGAATATCCTGAATTACAGCTTCATTGTTCTGTTGTTCTGTTTTAGTCTTCTCAAGCCAATCCATAAGAGCAACAAATAATTTTTTACCTTCAGGTGATGAACTACCCATTTTAAGACCACGTTCGAGGGCGTAAACTCGACCTGAATATAACGAAAAAACCTTCAGGTATTCTATTGGTTGTAATGTCATTTAGTGAGGAAACAAGAAAAGAAAAAGAAAAAAAGAAAAACTTACACCAATAAGCAACAACAATATCTCTTGCATCATGTTCTGATGCTGTTCTTAAATAATGTTGAATATCTTTTAAATAAGACGGACAAGGAGGCAAATCGACTGTAGGCATTTTTACTTATTATTATTATTATTATATTAATTTAAAAGCATCACAAATTATAACTGAACAAAAAAAATAAAAAATTATTTAGATCATTAAATGTTACCATTAAAATATAATTAAAGGAAAAAAAAAAATAATAAAGTGTCACCAGTGAGATATTAATATAAAACCATTGATTACGACAATTTGTCGACACAATATTATATATTATCCGTCATTGATTTCTTTACAGTATTCGAGAGTAAGAAAAAAATTTTCTTACTTTCATAAATTATATTTATTTCATTTTTTTTTATATATATTTAAATCCATTATCGTTTTTGAAAAATTTAAATATAAATATGTCTCGTCAAGCCAGTAGATTGGATCAAAAAAAAGTTGTAAGTTAATTTTAACCTGGTTAGGTTATGTGTGTGAAAAACGTATAAAGCAAATAAAAAAATATAATATTTTTATTATCATTATCGTATTATTAATATTATAAATGAAAATTTTTACATTAAAATTATCGTTTTACAGAATTCTGAACTTTTTACATTAACCTATGGAACATTAGTCACACAATTATTAAGAGATTATGAAAATGTCGAAGATGTAAACAAACAACTTGAAAGAATGGGTTACAATATTGGTGTTAGATTAATTGAAGATTTTCTTGCGAGAACATCGTCTGGACGGTGTACGGATTTTAAAGAAACTGCTGAAAAAATTCAAGTAAATTTTAACAACGTAACAATTTTTTTTCAATGATAAATCCACTTGGCTTCATTAAAATGTATATTTTCAGATGGGATTTAAAATGTTTTTGGGTATATCACCAAACATAACAAATTGGAGTCCAGCTGGAGATGAATTTTCATTGATATTCGATTCGAATCCTTTAATTGAATTTGTCGAATTACCAGATAATTTTATGCAATTGAAATATTCAAATATTTTACCCGGTGTTTTACGTGGAGCTTGCGAAATGGTTTTTATCATTCACTTTAAATTTAAATGTGTAATGTAAAATATTATTATTATTATCATTACTTTTTTGTAGGTTCAAATGGAAATAAGTTCTTGGTTTGTACAAGATCAATTAAAGGGAGATAATTGTACAGAATTAAGAGTTAAATTTATAAAAAGACTGGAAGATGCCATACCAGCTGGAGAAGATTAATTTCTCTCTTTTTTGAAATATGTCAAAGGAAGACATTCCAGAAACGAAAACAAAATCTAATGCATGTGTTTGTATGCTTACGATAAGAGGATAACTATCATGTGATAATGCATCATTCGATTCCAACAGTAAAAAAGAAATGCTGAATGTCGAATATTCTTCTGCTAATATTTACACTTTAGAATGAGTTCAACATGTAAATAACGACAGAATCGAAAATCATTTATATATATGTTAGAAATTTAAGTTCTAAATAATTTATATAATTTCTTATATTATAATAATAATGATAATATGTAATAATTTTGTATTAATTATATATCGTACAAAATAAAAATAAATAAATCGATACTCGAATCGTTTAAAAATCGAATCGAAAAAAAACAATTCTCGATTGCGAGGGAATGAGAAAACGAGAAACCGTTTTTGTTTTGATTGTCTATGGTTGGAAACGTGATTGTTGTCTATGGTCGTTTATCGTTCAGTTAAGGCCGTTTGTTATGAGGGTTTTTTTTAAGTAACCAACCAATAGTTATTAAGAAATAATAATAATAATAAAATATGTTGAATTTTAAATTTATAATAAGAGATTTTAAAGTATTGAGTTCGACATTTAATTTATTATTTATATACATATTATTAGAATTAATATCAACAACGATAGAATGTTTCAGTAAGTTTTTTTTTGTTATCATAATTAATTTTGATAATGTTGTTATTATTATTAATTACGTGCTTGACCTTGGAATTAATTTTTTTTTAAATTTCCAGGTAATAATTTAAATACGTTAGACGGTATGCCTGTTTACGACATACCTAGAACGGATATTTTTTTCGAAATAATAGAACCTAAAGAATTAGCATACACTTATAAAATTCATCCAGCTCAAGATTTTGGTACAACATTTAACGAAACGTTTTCTGTTAAAAACGTACCTCTCGTACCTACTGATCCGCCACACGCATGTGATAAAATATTAAATTCTGCCAAATTGTATAAAAATGTCGCTTTAGTCGAAAGAGGGTAATTTTTTTTACTAATTGAAATATTTGTAATTGCAATTGAATATCATTTGTAAAAGACGAATTCTTTTTTTTCTTTTTGGGTCATAATGCAGAGAGTGTAGTTTTTTATCGAAAAGTATTAATGTTGAAAAAGCAGGTGCGCTTGCAATTATTGTATCAGATCATGATAAAGATAATGATGAATTATACATTGAAATGATTGATGATAATACATTGAGACCTGTTAACATACCTGCCGGATTTCTATTAGGAAAAAATGGGTAATTATATGAGACAAAATAATTATGTTTAAGAAAACGAATAACCTAACTTGTTTCCACTATTCATAATCTTTCTCAATTTTTTTTCAGGCACATAATAAAATCAACATTAAAGAGATTAAATCTCAATCATGCATTAATTAATTTACCAGTTAACGTTAGTCATCTCCCATTAAATAAATTTAATCAACCTCCATGGGTCGGATGGTAACATTCTGTGATTTATTATTACTATTATTATTATGTTAACTAATCATAATCTAGTCAAAAACATTTTGTACCTTAGTATTAAATTTATAAAAATCATAATTATCATCATTATTAACACAATCGATCAATAAGTATTTGAATAAAAAAATTTTTTTTAAATTTTTTTTTATACGTTTATCAAATATTAAGTACTATTATTATTATTATTATTATTATTATTATTATTAATAACTAATTAAAAACTAAAAATTTATTATCATTCATTAACAGACATTATTAATAATTAATTAATTTTTTTTTTTTTTTACATGCTTTAAAAAGGGGCCTAAATCTCAACCATTTTTTATTATTACTCGTAATAATTGTAATAATAATAATAATAAGTAAAGAAGTAATAAATTATTAATTTTATAAAAATTATTATTATTATTATTATTATTATTATTATTTATAACCGGAATCCTTTTTTATATAATTCCTGAAAACTTTTTGCGTCGTCGGGAAAGAAACGAAAATAATTTAGTTAAAAAAAAAAAGGAGGAAACGGAAATGATTGTAAAAGAAAAAAAAGGGAAATCACGTGACCGTTTAAAATAATCGAATTAAAAGAAAAGAAAATTAAAAAATTAATTATTTACGGTAGAAAAATTACGTTTCTTAGCCCTTACCACATACACACAAAGCGTATATCCTTTCCTTCCTTCCTCCCCTCATCCTCACCCCCTACCCCCTTCTCCTCTACCCTTTTAATGATTTTATTGAAGAAATAATTATAGATTACCAAGGCAACTAATAATACTTATTGGAAAAGTAAAAACAAATTTTCCGATTTTTTTTTTTTTTTTGTTTTCCCCTTTTTCCTTTTTTCCCGTTTTGATTTTTCAGTTTGGTTAATGTTTTTATGGGGGTGAGAAAGAAAGAGAGAGAGAGAGAGAGAGAAACGATACGAATCAAACGATAATAATAATAATAATATTAATGATAATGATAATTAAATTATATTTTTGTATACGAGTTAAAATGATAAATACTTCGTTATTATTATTATTATTATTATTAAATAATTATTGTTACTCCCTACAAAATTTAAACATAAGTAAGTTTTTTTATTTATTTATTTATTTTTTTTCATTAATAAGTTTTCGGTAAGTAATTATTATGGTAATTAATTATTGTTCTTATTCGTTTCGCAAAAGGTTTTCACGGGGAAAATTTTTTATGCATTAAAACAAACAAACAAACAAACAACAAGTCGGGTATTCGTATACAATATATTAAAATCATTATTATCATCGATTGAAAATATTCATTAAAAATAATTGTTTTAAAACATTTTCCTTAACCCTTCCCCCCCGTATTTTCTTTAAAAAAATTTCCCCCCCCCCATTTGAACAATTGCGAAAATGATGGTAAGTAATTTTTTGTTTGTTTGTTTGTATTGTATACGACATAGTAGAAAATTCCAGGAAAATTTTCCTTGGTTTAAATTATTATTATTATTGCAATTTAATTTTTTTAATGCAAAATTTCTATTCGTACCGGAAATAATTTTTTTTTCTTTTGCTTTCACCGGGAAAATGCAAGGTTCTGAGAAAATTTTTTACGTTTATCAACCCTTATTCATAATAATAATAATAATAATAATAATTACGTTATAATTTAAAAAATTTTTATACCCTTGACATAATTGATTTTAATTTTTTTTTTTCTCTCTCTCCCTCTTATTCCTCTAAGAGGAAAAAAAAATGCAACAATAGAAAATGGTGACTTTTTAAAAGATGCAACAAACAAACAAACAAACGGCATGTTATTACGGATAAAGGCAAACGTATTTTGCCACGAGGGGGTTTTCCTCCTCCTACCGATAATACAAAATTGGTAGTCACGTAATAATAAACACCAACAGACATTAACAATATTTCATAACGTAAACAACAACAACAACAACAAACACATTAATTACGGTATCAAAAATGTATTTTATGTCATAAATTCCATAAAAAAAAAAAAAGGGAAATTTTAATATATCGTCAACATCGTATACAACACAACCTCAAGCCATATTATTCTCCATACATTACCATAAATGTACATTTTTTTTTTTTTTTTCGGATAAAAATTAATAATAATAATAATACTAACGGGAAACGCGTGTTTTTTTTTTTTTTTTATTTAGTGTTTATTAACGACGAAACAAATATAATAGCTGATAAATCCTTAGACGTTCTTATGAATTTCATTAGAAGGAATCCAAAAATTGGCGTTCAAGTGGAAGAATTGACTCGGGTCAATGTAAACGAAACCGATGCCAAAACTATTTTAGATAAACGTAAGTCCCTAGAAGATTTTAACGCGTTAACAAACAACAACAACAACAACAAAAACAAATTTCTCTTTTTTTTTTTTTTTTTTTTTTTTTCAAAAGTATGTAAAGAATATGGCGAATCCGTTAAATCTGGAAGAATGCCTCATGTCGTTTTGGATGCTACACTAACTGGAGTCTCATCGGAAACTGTTAAATCATTTACGTCAGCATTAGCAATACCAACCGTCAGCATGTCTTACGGTCAAGAATACGACATAAGGTCATCATCATCATCATCATTTTTTTTTTTTTAATAATTATTATTTATTAACGTTATTTAATTTTTTTTTTTTTTTTTTTAACAATCTCCAGAGCCTGGAGAAATTTAGATAAGGAAGATGAAAAATATTTAATACATATAATGCCACCGGGTGATTTAATACCGGAAGTTGTTAGAAGTCTCGTACTAGCACAAAATATTAGTAACGCCGCCATTTTGTTTGATGATTCTTTCGGTATAAATAATGATTGAAAATATCGAGAGAGAAAAACACGTTTCCGATTATTTAAAAAGAAAATTTTTTTCCAGTTATGGATCACAAGTATAAATCATTATTACAAAACGTACCCACACGTCACGTTATCAGCCCCGTTGAAAATTCTAAAACTATAAAAAAACAATTGACGAAAATGATTGATTTGGACGTTGTTAATTTTTTCATACTCGGTAGAATGAGCACAATTAAAATGGTTTTAGATCATGCAAACATAAATAAATATTTTGGTAAAAAATATTCGTGGCACGCCATAACGAAAGATAAAGAATCGATTAAATGCAGTTGCACGAATGCGACCGTTTTATTTTTACGTCCCGAACCTGATCCTGACAGCAGAGACCGACTTGGAAAATTACAAAGCACATACAGTCTTACTTTTGAACCGGAAATAAGTAGCGCTTTTTACTTCGAAGTTATTTTTAGAACTTTAATGAGCGTTAAGTAAGTTTTTCTTTACAATCACGTAATTTACGAATTTTCCATTTTCCTCACCAATTGGATTTTTTTTTTGTTTACAATTAGAAAAATGCTCGACGATGGTGAATGGCCGAGAAAAATGGAATTTGTTTTATGCGAAGATTTTAATGAAAATAAAGTTCCAAAAAGAACGAATTTAGATTTACGTAAAGCATTACAAGATGTAAGTTTATTATACGTCATAATAACGAAAAACAAATTCATTTCATATATAAACAAACGATAATGACGTCATAATTAAAATTTAATTATATATATATATATTTTATCAGTATAACGATCCGCCATTTTACGCTCCACTTATAATCGATAAAAACGGTTATAGTTTTATGGAATTTAATGTTAAAATAGAAAAAGCAACGATAATAAATAGTCAAACGGTAAGCGCCGAAGACATGGGAGAATGGAAAGCGAGTTTAAATGGACAAATTAAAATAAAAGATCCAACGAGTTTGTCTAATTTTTCATCTGTGACCGTTTATAAAGTCGTTACCGTAATCGTGAGTAATTTTGTACCGAAATTTTAGTGGAACCGGAAGAGAGAGAGAGAAAAAAAAAAAGAAACTTACCGATTTCGAATGATTTTCTTCCTCCACAGCAACATCCTTTCATTTATTACGATCCAGATTCAAAAGATAAAGATAATCCATATTCCGGTTATTGCATCGACCTTTTGGAAGAAATAAGAAAATTAATTAAATTTGATTACGTCATTTACGAAGCACCTGATAAGAAATTTGGTACGATGGATGATAAGGGACAGTGGAACGGAATGATTAAGGAATTAATTGAAAAGGTAACGAAAAAAAATTTTTTTAAGGCTGGAATTTAAACAAAAAAAAAATTTTGTTTGTTTGTTTGTCGTTGTAGAGAGCAGATATTGGGTTGGGATCATTATCAATAATGGCGGAACGTGAAAACGTCATCGATTTTACCGTTCCGTATTATGATTTAGTAGGAATAACGATATTGATGAAAAAAACAAAAACTCCGACGTCACTTTTTAAATTTTTAACCGTTTTAGAAAATGATGTTTGGTTTTGCATATTAGCCGCATATTTTTTCACGAGGTAATTTTAATTTTCGTTTAAAAAAATAAAAACAAAATGGCGCGAATTTAATCGTTTTTTTTCTCTCTCTCTCTCTCTATCATAGTTTTCTCATGTGGATATTCGATAAATGGAGTCCGTACAGTTATCAAAATAATAGAGAAAAATATAAAGATGACGAAGAAAAAAGAGAATTCAATTTAAAAGAATGTTTGTGGTTTTGTATGACGTCACTAACCCCTCAGGTAAATAATTAAAATGTGGTCCGATCGTAAAATAAAATTAATTAATTAATGATGATGATGGTTTAGGGCGGAGGAGAAGCGCCGAAAAATTTATCCGGACGTTTGGTAGCAGCTACTTGGTGGTTATTCGGTTTTATTATAATAGCATCATATACGGCTAATTTAGCAGCTTTTTTAACAGTTTCACGGTTGGATACTCCCGTCGAATCATTAGACGATTTATCCAAGCAATATAAGATACAATATGCACCCATAAACGGTTCTTCTGCAATGACGTATTTTGAAAGAATGGCTGATATCGAAACAAGATTTTACGAGTATTTTTTCTCTTTATTTTTATTTTTTTTACCGGAAAAAAATTATTTTCCGCTAAAACTAATTACGCTATTATTATTATTATTATTTAAACGTCAGGATTTGGAAAGATATGAGTTTGAATGATAGTCTTAGTGAAGTTGAAAGAGCAAAATTAGCCGTTTGGGATTATCCGGTTAGTGATAAATATACGAAAATGTGGCAGGCGATGAAAGAAGCTGGATTACCACAAACCTTTGATGAAGCTTTAGAAAGGGTTAAAAATTCTACGTCATCAAGCGAAGGTTTTGCATTTTTAGGTAATTTTTCAAAAAAAATCCTTTTTCGAACCTTTAATAATAATAATAATAATAATTTTTTTTTTTGGTTTTATTTATTTTCAGGTGACGCCACGGATATAAGATATCAATTTTTAACGACTTGCGATTTTCAAATTGTCGGCGAAGAATTTTCTAGAAAACCATACGGAATCGCCGTACAACAGGGATCACCGTTAAAAGATCAATTTAATAATGCGTGAGAATCTAATTAACGAGAAAACTTGATAAATTTTCAATCTTATTTATAATATTTTTCATCCCGTAGGATTCTTCAACTTCTCAACAAGAGAAGATTGGAAAAATTAAAAGAAAAATGGTGGACGAATAATCCGAAAAAAATGATTTGTGAAAAACACGACGAACAAAGCGATGGGATAAGCATTGAAAATATAGGTGTGATGATCTCTCTCTCTCTCTCTCTCATTGACCTTTCACCTTTTTCAACATCCTCAAAATAATTATTATCGTTAATTTTTCAGGGGGTGTTTTCATTGTTATATTTGTCGGTATCGGAATGGCTTGCGTGACTTTGGCATTCGAATATTGGTGGTATAAATATAAGAAAAATCCAAGAATCGAAGCAACAAACGAAAAAGAAAATCAAAGAAAAATAAATACTTGGAACACACAAGATAGATTCGGTCCTGATTTTAAAGATTATTATACGAGAAACGCGTTTCAAACAAGGCCGGGAAGATTTAAAGATTTAAATTCATTGGCTAAAATCGAAACTTAATCGTTGATTGGTTATTTAATTCGGGTCATTAACGTTTTTTTTTTTTTTTTCAAAAATAATAATAATAATAATAATGATAAAAGGAGGTTTTTGGTAGGACGATGATTATTATCAGGGTATTACCACGCCCGAATCACAAAAAAAACCAACCCCCAAAAAAAAAAAATCAATTTTCATTCAATTTTTTTAATTCGTGTTCTGGATAATTCTACGATTTAAAAAGAAAAAAAAGCAAACGATAAATTTCCTGATAAGAATTTGTTTTTAAAAAAAAAATTTTATCACCGAAAAACGTTAAATAACAATAACCCAATTTTAAAAATTTTAAAAAGTCAAGTTTATCAAATATGGTAAAATTACATATAAAATCATAGGGTGAATCTGATAAATATTAAAACTTTCAAAATCGATAAATTAATAATAATAATAATAATAATAATAATAATAATAATAATAATAAAATCATTAAATGTAGTCAATAACGATTGGTTTTATCGATTATTAAATAAATAATAATCAATCGATATCGTTTTATTAATTATCGATTTTTTTTTCTTTTATTTTCTTACCGTAATAATAATATTAATATTTTATCATGACCTTTTGAACTTTATTTTTTTTCCCCCACTGATTTATATATCTATATATCTAAATTAATGATGTAAATCATGATGAAAAGTTTTTTTTTTTTATTTCGTGTCACTAGTTAAAAGGATTTTCTAGTAAGCAAAAGAAAGAAAGAAAGAGAGAAAATTTTATCAAATGAATCTTTAATTTTCCAACGCAATTTTTTTTTCTGTTTATTTTAGAAATTTTCCGGAAAAAATTATTTATTTATATTGGAAAAAATATATCAAAGTCAAAACCGGATATTATTCCTCGGATATTATTTTGATTAAAATTTTCTATCATTTGTCACGGGAAATTATGAGCGATCGTTTCTTTTCGTATTCAGGTAAAATTCATTTTTTTTTTTTTTTTGGTTACAACAAATGAAATTTTCTAAGAAATTCATCAAAAAAAATTTTGCTTTGATTTTTTTTTTTTTTATCAATGAATAATTCATAACAAAAAAAAATAAATTGCAAATATGGCGTAGGAGGGTAAAAATGATCTGACATTTCTCGGACATATAAATCGTTGACTCATAAAAATGATACAATTTCTATTTTATTTTCCTGAGTATGGTAAATATTTATAGAAAACAATGAAAGAAAATTCTTTTCCCCGTAATTAATTATAAACCCCCACCCCCCGCCCCAATCAGGTTCCACATTCAATCGTACCTTGACCAAACAGGAATTAATAATAATAATAATAATAATCGAAATTATTTTTAAAAAAAACCACAAAGAATAACAAAAAAAAAATTTTTAAAGATGAAATCGCCCCAAAAGTTTCCACGTGGATCGTTCCTGCATTTTGGCCAATCGCCAGTATAGGAAATTTTAATGAAAAAAATATAAACAAAAAATCTTTTTTTTTGTTAATAATCGAAATACTTAATATAACAATTATATATGCAAGCGCACGCGCACGAAAGCACACGCTCACGCACACATGCATTTCCCATTTTCCCTCTCAGATTTTCCATTTTCTCCTCATTTTAACCGACAATTTGTTGTTGATGTTGTAATTTTACACCGTGATTGCTATTGTGTGACGTCATATTAAAGTACTTTTTCTAAATTACAAATCTAATCGTAGATAAAGTTAAAAAATTTTTTATTGTTTTTCCTTATTGTCAAAGTTCCCCTTCAGACTATTACACGCACCCACGCGCACACGCGCACACGCACATTCCATAATTTTTATAATTTTCGGTGATAAGTGATAAAAGCGTGAGTGATATCAATAAATACTAAGACTAATCAATCATTCGAAAAAAGAAAAAGAAGAAAATTTTTTATTTTTACTATTAAGGTAAGTCATTCATAACTTTTTTTTTTTAATAGACGTTTTATAGCGTAAAAAAATGATAATAATAATAATAATTTTTCTTTTTACCCCCTCTCCCCCTCCCTCACCTCCCCCTTACGAAATTTATTTATTAACTTTCGATTAATCGTTATCGTTAGATAATCGATGGATCGATATTAATTAAACGATGAGACGAAATCGTTTTTTTTTTTTTTGTTTTGCGCACGAAACGTATTAAAAACCGAAAATTATTGATTTTATTGATTATCGATAATTAACGAATGATTTTTTTTTTTTAATTCGTTTGTTATTGAATTTTATAAGAGTGTAAATTAACGAAAAGGAAAAATAAAATTTTTTTTTTTAGATCGAGTTTGCGCGTTAATCGATTTCATATAAAAATCAAACGGAGTTAATAATAATAATAATAGTAATAATAATAATAATAATAATAATAGTAATAATAATAATAATAATAATAATAATAGTAATAATAATAATAATAATAATAATAATAATAATAATAATAATAATAATAATAATAATATAAGTAGAAAAATTTTGTTCGTAATAATTTTTTTGTTTAAATATAAAAAAAATACCTATAAGCATAAAACGAGTTCGGTTTTTTTTTTTCGTAATAAATAAATAAATTTTGCACCATTTTTAAATAAAATTTTTTTTTTTTTTTTGACAACCAATTATTTATTTGATTTTTTTTTTTAGCAAAAATTATAAATCATTAAAAAAAAAAATTTATAAAATCAATAATTAAATTAAAAGTCCTTCGTACGCGTTTTTTTTTTTAAGATTGATGAATTTTTTTTGTTAATGGCGGAACCGTAAATTACTCATATATCGATTGTGCATATCTTACGAAATTTAAATCATCGTCACATAGGGGAACCGCGAGACTTCCTTTCGATGAATATCGATATATCGATATATCGAAAAAATTCGAGTTCGATTCGACTGTGAGCGGAAAATTTCCTTTTTTTTGCGTTGAAAATGTCGGTTATGCCATTATTACATTAAATATACGTTTATATTTTCGAATGAACGGTTTTTTCCCTTTAATTATAACGTTCGCGTGTTTTATCTTAAATTTTTATACTTAAAATAATAATAATGATAATAAAGGGATGCTGTTGTTGATCGCGTCAAACTTTATAACGGAGGTAAATAATAATAATAATGTTATAATAATTTAAATCTCCTTATTTTTGACCCATTCATAAAAAAAAAACAAAAATTACTCTCTCTCTCTCTCTCTTTCTCTCTCTCTCTTTGGGACGTCGTTTTTTTTTTTTTTTTTTTTTTTGAAATCAATCAGTAACGAATATAGATTTTAATTTGGTATAAAGCCAATGTGACTAATCAAAAGTCTATATGAAAAATTTTTGTTTTTTTTTTTTTTTTTTTTTTTTTAATTCAACACAATAATAATAATAACAACATAGTTATTACGTTATATTTATTTAATTATCATTATCATTATCATTATTATTATCATTTAGCCAATCCTTTCTTCCTGCTTCGAAAAAAAATCATTCTTATAAAAACAATTAATAAATAAATAAATAAATAATTTTTTCCAGAGTAAAAAATTAATAATTACCTTGACTTGATCGATTTTTATATTCTTTATATGGAAAGTTATTCGTAATAAGAAAAAAGAAAAGTTGAAAAGTAACAATTTTTTTGAAAAATGTCTCACCTCGAAATACCTTATACAGGTATTTTAACAAAAAAAAACAATTATTTAACGAAAAGCGACAAAAACTCGTGATATTTCCCATTATTATTATCATCATCTCAAATTTTTTTTTTTTTTACGCGCGTTTGTCGTGCTACGAACGCGTGCGTTTGTTTAGTTTTTAACCTCGTACCTCAATACCTAAATTGATGACGCATTTTTCTAAAGACTATGACGATGACGATGTGGATGATGATTATGATGACGACTTGTACGCCCACGTAAAATGGCACAATTTTTTTTTTTTTTTTTAGGTCCTTATAAGTTTTTTAATAAAAAGACCCAACAACCGCGACAACAACAACAACAACTGGCATATTAAACCCGTCCTCAGGTATTTTCTAAACACCGACAACGTATTTAAACACCCACAACAAACAACAACAAAATATAAAAAACACTTTCAATTTTTTTCTTTTTTTCTTTTCATTCTATTTATTATTATCATTATTAAAATTTTCCCGACTTATTTATTTAATTCAAATGAAAAATCCTTGATAAGTGGTGGTGGTGGGGTTAATAATAATAATAATAATAATAATAATACAATTTTATTCTTGTTTAGCAAAAAAAAAAAAAAAAAAAATCATTGTCCGATTTGTCGAGCCAAAAGACTTTGGACTTAATACAAATAATTACGTAAAAAATATATATATACACGTATATACATATGAAGATAAAATCTATTTATTAATGATTTCAATGTCTTTTTCTATCTCTCTCACTCTCTCACCTCTCTCTCTCTCTCTCTGTCTCTTTCTGTCTCTCTTTCATCCTTACTCACGTTAGTTTTTTTTTTTTTTATTATATTAAATTAAAAATAAATTAACGTAAAACTAAAATAAAATAAACGACCGAAAGTCTGACCGAACTTTACACGAATCTAAAAATGAAAATGATAATAATAATAATGATAATAATAATAATAATAATAATAATAATAATAAAAGTTTAATTTTTGAATTTTTTTTTTTTTTCGTTCTCCAGAATTTTAACACTCGGAGTGAGAGAGAGAGAGAGAGAGAGAGATTTAATTAAATAAAAATTTTCCATTAGGGAAATTCAGTAAAGGAAAATTCGGAGGGTATAAAAAGGGTCAAAGGTCATAGAAGAAGAAAATTATTTGGGTGTAACCAATGCTTTAGATTTAGGTGAAAATTAGGTAGTTTTCCCTATTGTCGCCAGATTTCAGACGACGAGTATTTGAAAAAAATTTAAATTGTGGCGACAACTTTTTTGTTTAAAAAAAAAAAAGCGCCATAATTTCTAATATGAGTAAAAAAATTTTCTGCGAATAATAATAATAATCATTTAAAGTTTTTTTTTTTTTTCTTCCCCCCCCTTTTCCTCCTAACTCTTATCGATGAATTTTCATTCGAGAAAATTAACGACAAAAAAAAATCGTTAAATTTTTTTAAAATTGCGACTTTTCTTTTTTTTTTTTTTAAGGAAACGTTATTTTAATTCTACGACAATAAAATTTTTTTTTTTGATTTCGGCAAAATTGAAAAAATTAATTTTTTTTTTTTTTTTTTTATTGAAAATTTGCTGAAACGTGAGACGTC